TGACTAATACCTTTTTTTTTCAATTTTGCTATTACTATAACGAAAATTTAAAAAAGGCATTTCGTAGGTCTCGGTAAGTTACATGCAGGCTGAAAATTTCATCGATATCGGTTAACCTTGGCAGGAGCTGTAAGAAATTAAAGAATGCAGAAATCTGCAGCTTTTAATACCTTTTGACGCTCGTGCCTTGCGGAGTGCAAAGGGTTAAATAAATAAACGACTAAACGGTAGCTTTCGTCTGTCGACATCCGGGCAACGAAGCTCCGAATTGCCTTCGAGACCCGTAGCTTTGGTACAGCTAGTAGGATTTGACGGAGTGCACGCCATCCCGAGCCGATTCGTGTCGAATCGGTGGCTTTTTGTGGCAAGCGTCGCTCTCGCGTGATCCATCACGGCCAGCGATAATAATTATTGCTCTACGTATATGTATTCGTATGCGACTCGAGACTCGAAAGAAGCCGTGGTTTCATCGTACATTTCTAAAAGTGAATTTACAATTTCGTAGATTCATTTCTCGTTCGCGATATCGGTGCTTCGCGGCTCGTTAACAAGTTGTAATTAGCCCGCATTCGCATTTTCTTGTAAGAAAATTTGAATTGCTCGAATCGAAAAATGAATTTTGAGATAAAATTTCGTCGAGCTATTTCTATGCAACGTAGCTTAAACGAAAACTGAAAGCGTCTACTTTAAGACAAGGTGGATTAGTTTGAAATTGTATAACACGATTGCACACGGAACTACAGGGTATCCCAAGATTATTGTACAAGCGGGAAATGAGGGGTTTCTGAAGTCATTTGAAGTAACTTTTTCCTCGGCGAAAATGCAATCCGTGGCTTCGTTTACGAGTTATTAACGAAAAACCTTGACCAATAAGAGTCAAGTTCGGCTGACACGTGGCGGCCGAGCCAATGGGCGGTCCTGGTCTTCGTGTTGGCTGAGTTGCATCGCGCTAGCTGATCTCGCCTGTTATTGGTCAGTGTTTTTCGTTAATAACTCGTAAACGAAGCCGCGGATCGCATTCTCGCCGAGGGAAAAGTTACTTCGAATGACCCCGGGAACCCCTCATTTCCCAGTTATGCAATAATTTTCGAACACCCTGTATATTTTCTTACGAGGAAACGCGAACGGACTTATATCGCGCGAGCCAATTGTATTTTGCTGTCGGTAGTTTAACGAGCGTCGAACGATCAGAAGAGCCAATCGGTTCTCGAAAGCAGAAATTGCGCGCGAGGCTGGCTCTATTCCCGAACGTCGCCGTGATAAACGCGGACTAATGACCGCGTTAAACTTTGATGGATCCGAGACATCGAGTCGATGTCTTGGTTTCGATCGAGTTCCAATCAGTCCCGGCCATTGTTAATTCACATATCCGTAGTCGAAACGACGTCGACGCGACTCGTTTGCCGATTTACGACTCGGACCGACCCCGAGCCCGTCGTTCTTCGGCGTAGATTCGCTTCGTGTTCGACGCGGAGAGATGCCCGGCGCTCGAAAGTTCGTTACAGGACTGAAAGCGGCAGATGTTTACCAGACGGTCCCAGATCGGACAGCGCACGACAGCAGACTCCATTTACTCCGACCGATCTTATCGCATCGTCCCCGATCAATCCATTAACCGGCGACGACGGAGTTCGGCCGAGCCACTCTCGACTTCCTGTAAATTGCTCGCACAGGGAATACCGAATGGATTGAAACGACCGGCGAGAGCCGGACACGTCGAACGCCGGACGCGCGTTCATCCTGCGCTATTAATTGCTCGCGAACGCTACCCCAAAGTGGTTTCGTAGTCCCTGGACGGGGCTACACGGTATTTCCCTCGGAGCTAAGCGAACGGGAACAAATCCACGGCAAATCACGGTAAATCACGGCGAACGGTGCCAAGAAAAGAGACGGAGGACCATCCGTCTTTGTCTCTCTGTCTCTCGTTTTCCTCTTGGACGACAGCGTGTGGTAGCCGTTGGTAGCCATGGTAGCGTTAACCCACGGGGTTAACCTTTTAGGCCCGATGCGCCGCTATAGTGGCAATCGTGTCTCCTCCTCCCAAATGGTTCATTTTTGTGTACAAGCTCAGGGTCGATTAGGGAGAATTTAATAATAAAATATTTGTTTCTACGAACATTGATTTTTCTTTTTTGCGGCCCACCTAAAGTTAAGCATTGTTTATTTGGCCCAAGTTAGCTTTTGAGTTTGACACCCCTGCCGTAGACGTTGCCTATTTCGCAACGGGTGAGGCAAAGTGACGGGCAAAGGGGGCTGGTTGTCCGCGCGGAGGGTAATATTAACCGCCACACCTGTCACTGGCAATGTAACAAGAATGTCGAGAAGGAGGTTGAGAACCGAAGGAGGTTGAACCGAAGTATAGGTGTCGTCTGGTCGGGTCGGACAACGAACTATTCCCGATTCGTATCGAGACGAGCTAACGTTCGCGGCACCATGATCCGGAACCACGGCGGGCGAGGTAGCGATCGATATCGAAATAATTTTCGACGCTTTCGAAATATACTTTATCCTGCAGCAGTCGGATCTAGGTTGTCCATCGAGAATCGATAGGGTATTTGGTAACTTGAATCGGTAATTGGAATCGGTATTTGCAACCGTAATTGTATCTTCTTTTTTTATTGTTTCTTTCACTTTCCTTTATTTCTTTTAATTTGCTACTCAGGGAAAAGTTACGTCAAATGACCTCCGGAACCCCTCATTTCTCGGATATATTTAAGGGTTTGCGTTTTAACACGTTTAAAAATATGGATGCTAATTTTCGAGAAGATTTACTTGTATTTGTTATCTCAGGATACTGATATTATTCTCGGTATAAATAATTTCGTATAAACATTAAAAAATCACCGAATTTTACCGAAGTGACGTTTCGAAAGGACAGTGATTTACTAAAATTGTTGAATAAATTACATATATAATAATAATTTATACCATGAACATATTTAATATAAAGGTTTGATTTAAGTATTTTTTATTTTAATATTCATAAAATACAAAAATAATTAGTACATTTTGAAACATAAGTATAAGTAATTTATATGAAAATACATCAGTTC